GCGCAGAGCCCAAGGTGGGCTCGAACCCACCAAGTGAGATCATGACCCGAGCTGAAGTTGACGCTTTACCCACGGAGCCACCAAGGGGCCCCTGGGCACATTTAATTTCGTTCCTTCTCAAAAACCCACAAAAATCATTTCTGGTTTGTTTGTTGTTGTTGTTGTTGTTGTTTTTCCCCACCACTTTTGTTTCTGAAGACAAAGCTGCAAGGCTGAGAAGAGGAAAGGAGACGATCTGGGAAGCTGTAAAATAGACCAGTTTTAAACTCTCAGAAATAACAGGAAGGCCAGATGGAATGGAATAAAGCTTTCAAAATTATACAGGCAAATTATTTTCGCCTAAAATTCTGTACTCGATCGACCTTTGATTGATCAAGTTTAAGGGCAGGATAAACACTAAATGGATAAAAGCCTTTGATACCCGCAATAAGAACTCCAGCACAGGACAGGGGCAGAGGGAATCCCTGGGGTGGTGGGGAGGGTCCTTCAGGAGGACTGCTGGGTGCCGGGTGTCAAGACCCAGCCCGGAGCAGAAGTGGGTTCAAGGGCGCTGGGGGAGCTTTTGTCAGGAAGAGGTCAAGCACCACTCATACACATTTCTTGAAAAAAGATTTAAGTTTTGAGGGTTGCATCGGTATTAAGTACATAGAAATCCAAGCAAACACAGAATTAAGACAATTATCTCCAGAGAAGACTAACAGACCGGGAAAGGAGGGTGGGGGGGAGGAATCACAATTTTCTACACGACTCCACTGCTGTGTGTAGTATTTACATAGTTACAATAGTGCAGACGCTGGATATTGATTTAAGCAAAATCTTAATATAACCAGTTTGGAAGGAGGAGGAAGATAAGACTCATGCTTGTGGACAGGGAATCAGGGAGAAGAAAGCTGAGAGTCAGTAGATGATGTGAAACTGAGAAACCAGAGAGCACGGAGACAAGCAGGTTATTTTGAGAATTGGGGTAAACACCTGAAGAATCCGCTTACCCAGGTGAAAGTGCTTGGCTCTGGAGAAGAAGGGAGAATGCGGTCGCTGCTTTTCACTTTGAAGCTCTGTTTGGCTCTCTCACAACTATGTGCATTGGAACCTGTACTGAATGCATAAATATATGTTTCTCTCCCTCTTCCACTACATCCCCTTACTCACCGGTGTTTAATTTTCAGAGTAACTACTTTATATTCGTACCGAAAAGTTCCTTTTGTCTCTGCCTTGAAGGCATTACCAAGAAGGTTACTCTCAGTATTTAGAAATTCTGCTTTTAAATAGTAACAGCTGCGGGGGCGCCTGGGCGGTTGGTCCAGCGGCCGACTCTGACTTCAGCTCAGGTCATCAAGGCACACTTTTCGAGACTGAGCCCGAGGTGGGGCTGTCAGCCTGCGTGGGATTTTCCCTCTGCCCCTCCCCTAGTAACAGCTGCCATCATGACCTGCCCAGCACTTCCACACTCTCTCTGGGTTCCCACAACAGCCACGCTTCCATTTCACAGGTGAGAAACTCACACTCAGCTTGGTTAAATAATTTGCTCCTCTGTAGCTGGGAGCCCTGACCCCAAAGCCTCGTCAGACCTCATCTTTCTAGGATTTGAGTTTAAAGGAACTCCAAAGGGGAAAACATGTGGCAGTTCAAAGAACTCCTGGGGAGTAGGGTGGGGG